TTTCCGACAGGGTCACAGGAAGTCCAAGCTAGCCTCATACTCTTGGGTTGTCAAGTCGTATCTGTCCCAGGCACTTAGCCATTCCAAGAGTAGCTGCTGTTGGGGAGGGGTACCCCAGGACACTGCCCAGATTTCCAGCTGCTACCACTAGATGGATACCGGGTCAGGAGCAGGATGGAGAGTCCAGGAAAAGAATCTCAGAAGGAGGAGAAGTTCCACATTGGCCCTGTGGCATCTGAGGAGACCTTGACGCCTTGGGGCCCTTCCAACAGGCAGCTGGACAGTGAGCTGGTGCTCAGTAAAGAGAACACCCTGGAGAGGTGCAACCAGCTCCACCTTGGTGGGTTTTGAGAGTCACAGGCAGAGCAGACAGATTTCTCCTGGGGAGAAAATGAGGCCAGGAGGACAGTGAGGAAGAAGGAAGAGGCGGGGGAGAAGGATGAGACTGATGAGTCACGAAGGTGGAGGGAAGAAGCCACAGGAAGAGATGCATGACCCATGTGTCATGTATCCCACATCAAAGGAGGAGGAGGGGGCGGACAGGGTCGTGGTTAAGGTGTTTACAAACTTCCACCAAGCTCAGACTCTACTGCAAGCGCCACATACCCGCCCACCACCTCTGGAGGGTTCCGCCCACCACTGCTGGTGGACATAAGTGTCTAAACTGATCTGAGATTCCACCCAAATCCCCCAGATCTGTTCAAGGAGGTTCATCACACCCAATGGAAGCCAATGAGATCCAGGCTCAAGGCTTTGTTTATTTTTTTTTGTTTTTGTTTTTGTTTTTCGGGTTTTCAAGACAGGGTTTCTCTGTGTAGCCATGGCTGTCCTGGAACTTGCTCTTTAGACCAGGCTGGCCTTGAACTCAGGGATCCACCTTCCTCTGTCTCCTGAATGCTAAGATTAAAGACATTCATCACCACCCCGGCTCTATATAACTAAAAATTTTTAAAGATTTTAAAAAATAATCTTATGTGTATCAGTGTTTTGCCTGCATATAAGTGAAGACACTGCACACTTGTAGTGTGCCCACAGAGGCCAAAGAGCACTAGGTCCTCTGAAATTGGAGTTATAGACAGTTGTGGTAATTTATGGGTGCTAGGTATCAAACCCAGGTCCTCTGGAAGAGCAGCCAGTACTCTTAACCCGAGCCATCTCTCCAGCCTTTATTTTGAGAAGGATCTAATAAGGTAGTCTTGGCTAGCCTAGAACTCAGTATGTAGATCAAGACAGTCTTCCTACCTCTGTAGTATGTAGTATGTCAGTATGTAGACATGACAGTTTTCCTACCTCTGCCTCCCAAATGCTGTGATTATGGGAATGCACCACCATGTCCTGCTCAAGCCTAAGATTCTGTGTGTGTGTGCATGCTAGCATGTGTGCTCACAAGTAAATCATAACTGGGCGGTGGTGGTGGTGCACACCTTTAATTCCAGCACTGCAGAGGCAGGCAATTTCTGTGAGTTCAAGGTCAGCCTGGTCTACAGAGTGAGTTCCAGAATAAGCAGGACTGTTTCATAGAAAAACTTTGTCTCAAAAAAACAAAAGAAAACAACAAGTAAATTCATTCACTTCACGTGTGTACAGGCTAAGGTCGACATCCAGTGTTTTCCTCAGTCACTCTCCACCTTAGGTTTTGAGACAGGGTCTCTCACTGAACATGGATCTCACCCATGAGCTAGACTACTTGGCCAGCCAGCTCCAGGGACCTTGCTGTCTCTGCCTTCCCAGTGCTGGGATTATAAGAATATGCTACTGTGCCTATTTTTTTTTTTTAACGCGGATGCTGGGGATCTGAACTCGGGTCCCCATCCCTGTGTTTCAAGTACCTTACAACTAAACTGTCTCCAAGTCCCCGGGCTCAGGACTCTAAAGGAAAGGCCTGTGCTAAGTCTGAAGAAGAAAAGAGAATGTGCAGATTGGAGCCACTTGTCACCAACTCAAAAGTCTGAGGATAACCTCTATAGGGACGCAGAAGCTGGAAAGCAGAGTTCAGCCAGCTATAGAGCGACAGGACACTGGCAATGACCTGTGCCTCAAGCGGCATGGCAGCAGAGATCACCTGGATCTTGACTGTCAACGAGCCAGCAAATCCCTTCTCTGCCTTTGTAGATTGGGTTGGCTTTTCCATCGTTTATTAAAAACAAAGTGTATCAGTCACTTCCGAGTCTAATTGGACCTAGTCTAATTAAGGTACCTCATAGCTCAGTGACTTAACGTAAGTGAGCTCAGGAGGCTGGATCAGGTGCAGCTTGGGTGCAGTATTGTTTTTTGTTTGTTTGGTTGGTTGGTTTTGGTTTTGTTGACAGGGAGGATTGACATGCTTTACTTTGGACACCAGGCTAGCATCATGCTCATAGGTACCCACCTGCTTTGGCCTCTCAAGTGCTGAGATTAAAGGTGTGTTGCACCACAGCCAGCCCCTACATTTTATAATAGAAAGGAATTAACTTCTCGCTATACATGAATCTCTTGGATTTTTTTTTCCTCTTCGAGACAGGGTTTCTCTGTGTAGTTTTGGTGCCTGTCCTGGATCTCGCTCTGTAGACCAGGCTGGCCTTGAACTTACCTGGCTCTGTCTCCCTAGTGCTGGGACTAAAGGCATGCACCACCACCGCCTGGCAAATCTCTTGGAATTTATCAGAGTAACTGAGGCTAAAGATGCTGGCGAGCGGGACCTTTTACTGATGTGTGCTTTGATTATACATTTGTAGGTGCAGGGTGGGGTGCTCTGGGGGTGGCAGACTTTCAGGATCTCAGATTTCTGCTGCCCTGTGCTCAGACCTGGCTGGAAGTGGTTTGTTTTTGTTGTTGTTAATTTTTTTTTTTAAATCCCGGTATGGTGGTGGACATATTTAATCCCAGCACTTGGGAGGCAGAGGCAGGTGGACCTCTGTGAGTTCAAGGCCAATCTGTTCTACAAAGAGAGTTCCAGGACAGCCAGGACTACAAAGTAAGATCCTGTCAAAAAAAAAAAATCTTTATTTTTATTTATGTATATGTAGGGGTGTGTTTATGTATATCCACAGGCCAGAGAGGATATCAGGTCCCCTGAGCTGGAGTTACAAGCGTTTGTAAGTTGCCTGATGTGGGTGCTGGGAACCAAACTTAGGTCCCCTGTGAGAACAATACTCACTCTTTTTTTTTTTTTTTTTTTTTGGTTTTTCGAGACAGGGTTTCTCTGTGTAGCTTTGCGCCTTTCCTGGGACTCACTTTGTAGACCAGGCTGGCCTCGAACTCACAGAGATCCACCTGGCTCTGCCTCCCGAGTGCTGGGATTAAAGGCGTGCGCCACCACCGCCCGGCCAATACTCACTCTTGATCAATGAGCCACCTCTCAGTCCCTTGGCAGTGGCATTTTAATGACGAATCTGGCAGCTGTTATCCACGTGGCTCTCAGCTGTCCCCTCTGGATGAAGGTTTACAGATATCATTAATTCTCTTTACACACTCAAGCATTGTATGCCTCATGTTTAGAGGCTGGAGACAGTCAAAGAATACCCTGACCTGGGGTCATGGAGCATGCTGGTACCCACACCCACCCACACAGCCATCGAGGAAGACACAATACCGTGTACTTGCTGGGGTGTGATACCTGCGCCCCAGCCCTCACCTCACCATTCAGGGTTTGCACTCCCCTGGCTGTGTCCCCCCATAACTGCCAGCATCTGAACAGCAGAGACTGTCCTGTGTCCTCTGACCTGGGCCCACGCCTGGCTTGGCGAGCAGCTTTAGCTACATCACGGTGCCTATCCTCTCCTCTGCCTCTTCCTGTCTCCCTCCTCAGCCTGCCAATGCGCAGGAAGTGCAGTCCCACAGTACCATCAGCTGCTGACCACAGGTGAACTTGAACTTGCCATGTGCTGCACCGATGTCTGAGGCAGGTGTGGGGTGTCTAGGCTTCACTTTCCACATTTGTCAAATGGACATGATGGAGCAGATTCTTCAGTCTAGAATTTGGCTTAAGATGCATAATTATTTAATAAGTAATGCCTGCAAATAAACGTATTATTTGTAAATATTGATGATAATGAGGATACACCCCCAACACAAACTAGAATTGTAAAAACCTAATGGCGAGTGGGTCGCTGTCGCCCTCTTCTGGCCAGGCTGGGATGTCTTCATCTTCACTTCTTGGGTTCTACAGAATTCACTTTCCACCCTACCCAAAGCCCCTTCTTGGGTTCTACAGAATTCACTTTCCAACCTACCCAAAGCCCCTTCTTGGGTTCTACAGAATTCACTTTCCACCCTACCCGAAGCCCCTACCTACTCAGCTCCTTTTGGACTTTGGGAGTGTGTCCAGAGACCTGGGCAGTTCTGGTCTCAGGTCAGGCCACTAACACTGCTGTCACCCTCTGGCTTCTGGACCTTCGGTCCGATGTGGAGGTGACACAGTTGCCCTACAAAGGACCCAGGCAGCACCTAAGAGTCTGATCCGCCATCTCTGGCACTGCCCGTAGGACCCAGCTAGGGACAAGAGGCTCTGTGCTCCAAGGCCTCAGGGACTATTGTAGCACCCCAAGGGCAGAGATGGTCATTCCAAGACAAGAGGTCACTTGTCATCCCCCAGGTCCAGACTTAAGCAGTTGTGTGATCATGGCTGAGGCATTTAGAGAACCTTTGACAGACACTGGTTGTGAGGGGGTACCCAAAGCAGAACTGTGGGAGTAAGCACCAATGCCTTACCTGGATCCCTAGAGGGTCCTCTTGATCCCAGAAGAAGGTGCCACCAACTTTAGAATACAAGCTTCCTTCTTCTTCCCACTGAACAGGGGCCTAGTATCTGTAATACCATCCACAGGTAGGAAACAAGCCAAGGATGTGGGGGTGACCACATCCCTAAGTGAAGGGACTGGGTAGTTTCCTTCTCCCCACACATCCAATACTTGTGAGGGCCTCATACCCCACAGGTCCTGACTGGGCAGCAAGACCATTGCGGTCTGCTCATACCCATCTCTGCCCCAGAGTACCCACAAACTGGCCACACACACACCCTCCAGACTTCGCAGCTGTTTTTATTATTAATATTATCTTCTCCTTTAAGCATCCCTTTAAGGGTGAAATGAAATTCAACCATTTACAGAGAAAATGATTTCAGAATGTACATATTGATTTTCCTTTACAAAAAAAATAATACTATTATTATTATTGGTGTCCTTAAATTACACATTTCCCAGGGCCCTACCTTCTGCTTGGGTGGGTCCTGTCTTCCCACCCTGAATCTCACCTGTGTCTCCAAAGCTTCATCATGCCTGCCTCCTATAACTGCTGTGACCCCTGGGTGAACGAGGTCAGCTGGATGCCCGGAATGAACAGGCCTCCTTGGGTTTAGAGGTCACAGGACAGTGGTTCCTGGAGAATGCGCCCACATTCACATTCAATAGAGTTTCCCTTCATATTGAGGGTATGGTCCTGGGTCCCCTGCCCCTCAAATTCCCAGTGTATGCTGTGGTTAGATGTGAAACCTTTTAGCCCCCACCTCTCACAGGTGGTCTCTCAGCCCACGACCAGGCCTCTTCCTGCCTGGTTGAAATGGTTATTTTCCTCCTACTGGTCTGAGAGAGAAGGCCAGCCCATTAGATCTGTGCTTTCCCAGTATCCCTGAACTGGTCACCTGCAGGCAGGAGCCCTGAAATGCCTGAAATGGGGTGTCTATGAAGCAGCTGAGGTTACCCAGAGTGTGGGATGAGGATTTCATTTGAGGGGGAGGCATCCCTCGGGAGCACCCACAGGCATCTCAGAGGAGTGCCCTGGCACAGATGGACCCATACGCCTCTGGGACATCCTGACTTCTGGGGCCACCTCTCAGTCCCAAGAGGAACGAGAGAGGGAAGCTCTTTGAAGGGAGGTTTCATGGGTGGGACCCCTCAATGAGAGGAGTGGAGCCACAGAGCCCCTCAGCCTGGTTTGTGCCTGTTCTCCAGAGTTGTCCCCACCCCACACCCACCGCACCACCTGGTAAACGGCTCCAGACAGAGCTGAATCAGAAGAAACCCCTCAGGAAGCCTCCAATATGAGAACATCCAGGAGGTGCTGGGGTATCCGTGGCGAAGAGAGGCTGAGGGAGTGGTGGGCTCTCAGCTGCATAGCCCTCTAGCTAGCAAGATTCCATTCCTCAGTCTGAAAAACAGACAGACAGACAGACAGACCCTGTACTCCCTTTAGCCTTGCTTTCAAGGTCCCCCAAGGACTTCCTGCCTCAGACATCTTGAGGGGCCACAGGAGACAAGAATATAGGCTCCAGGTCCTAGGGAAGAGGACAGCCAAGCCTATACTCCTACACACACGTGTGAGCATCATCTTAGTACAGGGACACATGGATACAGACATGTACAATACACACCAAGCATGCACCCATGCCCATAAATATACACACACGCACAAACACGGACCATTCCACAGATAGCCCTGCAAATTGGCATCAAGGGAACGTCAGGGGCCTCAGGGAGAGGCACCCACTCTTCCCATACACCTGCAAGTCCCGATTGGACCTCAACCGCGGGGCAGGCAGGGAGAGAGCAGGGTCCCATGATGAGCAATCAATCATTTGCACCCCTCCCACAAAGGTGCTGCTGGTAATACAGAACTCTCAAACTGAGGCAGGCACACAGCAGCCCTGCTCAAAACTACATTTCCCAGTTTTCCTTGCAACTACCTGTAGCCATGCAGCTAAGTCCTGACCAGTAAGATGCGATCAGAAACAACAGACATATCTGCCTCCTGCCCTTCACAGGAAAGAGTTCACACTTCCTCGTCTTTTCATGTGAGCGGGAGCAGCCACTCTATCCAGACCTGGAAGTTGTGAATGAAGCTAAGCTGTCTGTCTTACAGGCCCTGGACCATCACCCCCTAGACTACTAAATTAAAAACAAGCTGGTCTTACTTGACCGATGTTTGCCGAGGGGCTTCTACATGATCTCAGAATCTTCTCCAACAAATACATCCCGGGCCCCCACAAGGCAAATCAAGAGGAATGGGTTGACATATCACCGACCTTAAGGCCCTTTCTTGGGCCCCAGAAAACTTGTGGCCCCTTCCTTGGCCCCTAGCCTACTCTGGGGTGGGGGAGGGCACAGGAATGTCTGCACCTGGGATGGTGGTAGAATGGGACTGGATGCCAGCAGAGAGTGATGGGGAGGGAGAGAGAGAGAGGCCTCTGTCAGTCCCCTTTTCTTGTCCCACCCCTTATACTGGCTGCCCATACAGTCTCCAGCTCCTGTCCCACCCTGAGAACTGGACTCCTGGAGTCCTTTGCAAGCAGCTGAGCTGGCATCCCATGAGACAGCAACAGGAAAAGCGAAAAAGCCTTCAAGGCTAGATTTGGAACCAAGAGGAAGGTTCCTCAGGCCCCCAGCACGTCTGCCTACAGGGGCAGGGGCACTGACGGCCGCTGGCTCCGTCCTCCCGCCAGCAGTGACCTCATTCCTCGGGTCCAGCACTTCTGAGGAAGCTGCCAAGTGCTCTCTTTCCCGGGTGCATTTTCCACCACTCTCCTAGCTTCTCGGCCGAGACCAAGAGCAGATACACTTTTCAGTCCCTCCCTCAAAGTGGCTCTTCTTGCTCCTGAACCCAAAGGCATTTATTTACAGTGTCCTGGGAACTCCTGGCATGGCATACCCCCCTTTCCATTGCAGGTCAATAATCCAGGATGTCAACGGTGGGCTTCTCTCAACTAGGCTGAAACTCCATAGCCCTCCCAGCCCCAGAAAACCACCTTATGCGCTCCAGGGACACTTCTTGCCCACAGCACTCTTGGGGACAAAATGCTGCATAGATGTGTGGGCTTGCTCTTCTCTACTGGAAAAGATTAATTTTTCTTTTCTGTTTTGGGCTAAAAGGCCTGACCCTTAATTCCAGAGGGCTTGAGCAGAGAGAGCCACCTACCATGACTCCTGGCTCTCTCAAGAGCCCCCAGGGACATGAGGAGGCCAAAGATAAAACTGGGGTAGCCATCACCCCAGCCTACCCAGCCCTAGCCCTCCACTGCATCCAACTTGCCCCTGGCAGCAGGTGACCTTCCCTCGGAGCCCGGGTTCCGGCGCCCATCCTCCACAGTGCTCTTTGGCTCCCGGTATGGGTTGTCCAGCAGGTAGCGGAACTGGTCATAGTTCTTGAGTAGGTATTTGGGAGCATACATGTGCTCACTGGGGTCTGCGGGAGGGTACTCCTGCTGTGTGCCGTCGAACCAGCCCCCGGTGCGAATCAAGCTGCGGATGTAATTGAGGTCCCTCTTGTCCTCATAGTCCCCCCAGCGTGGGAAGTCGCCATTCTGAGCCGACACAAGCTTGAAATAGATGCCCTCAGGCGTGAAGCACCAGGAGCAATGCCAGCCCGCAAAGTGCAGGGGACTGCCAAGGGACCACTGCACTAGGATGTGGCCTGTGCGGTTCTCATACTGTCGGAAGTTGGGCATGGTGTAGTATTGGCGACGGCGCAGGCGGATGCCATCCAGCCCATACACGGCCTGCAACATGTCCACAGTGCAGCCCGACACCACCTCCAGCGTGCCCGGTTGCTTCCAGAAGAAGCCGTACAGGGACTTGCGCATGTGGAAGGCAAAGGGCTCGGTCCAGCCGTCGTAGAGCTTGAGAAACAGCACACCATCACGCGCTGGGATCTCGTCAGCGTCATCGATGATGAAGACATCATCAGGCCGCAGGTTGCGCAAGCGGGAGACACCATCCTGGGTGAGGAAGGTGCGCAGGTAGTCGTCTGCGATCCAGCCGTCCTGCCGGCCACCGGGTGGGAAGTGGTCCAGAAAGACGTAGAGCACCTTGTGGCGGATGTACTCGAAGGTGCCGTTGGTCAGCATCTCTCGGAACTTGAGCGGCCGCGGCTCCCCGTAGGCGGTGAAGTTGGACTCGCACACCACGAAGGCGTCCACCACATCGCCCAGCTCGTGGAAACGCACATCCAGGAGGTCAAACTCGTGGTTGATGTTGATGGCATTGATAACCCGCCTCGGCACCTCCCTGGGTACCAGGCGCTCCTTGGTGGGCAGGTTGGAATACTGCACCACTGTGGGCACCCCGCAGCTGGGCCCGTGCCAGCCTGGCAGGCACACACACTCAACCCACTTGCGCCTAGTGCCCCGGCTACCCGGCCGCTCTCGCGCATTCAACACGTGCCGCATGGGCCTCCGAGCAGGGCCGCGGGCCGAGGAGCCCTCAGCCACCTCGGGCTTCTCCTCCGTGCGCCCTGAAGAAGGTTTCTCCAGCATCTTGGTACCTGGTTTGAAACAGACACCCCCGGCTTTGGTGCGCACAAAATATTCAGTGGTGTCCTCCGACAAGAAGAAGTCCACTCGGTGCAGTTCCTCGGTGGCCTTGCTGGGGGACAGTGGCTGGAGCAAGGGGGAGTGGGAGTAGAGTGGGGTCCGCAACAGGTCGGCGCCACCCGGCTCCGGACTGGCCTGGGGAGTGACAGGGGCATTGTTCCAGAAGAAGCTGGATACCAGGTTAGGGCTGAGGGAGGCCAGTTCTCTGGGGAAGGTGACATAGGACAAGGTCTTAAAGAAGTGGAGGAAGGAGATGAGGCACAGGCCGGCCATACAGAACATGAGAAAGAGTTTGTAGCGTCTCATCTTCGTCCTGCAGGAAACGGGAAGAGCGAGAAGTCAGGGCAGCCCGAGGCTCCTGTCCTCGGAAGGGGGCTGGAGGGGAGTCCTAGCTGCAGTCACCTGCGAGAATGTCCTGCATTGCACTGTCACCCCACCTTCTTATCCTCAAAAGGTCACTGTCCCAGGCGTGGTGACACACCTTTAATCCCAACACTTGGGAGGCGGAGACAGGTCGATAGATCTCCATGAGCTGGGGGCCAGCCTGGTCTGCATAGTGAGTTTCAGGACAGCCAGGGCTATGTACAGAAACTCTCTCACTTTCTCTCTGTCTCTGTCTCTCTCTGTCTTACTTGCATGTGCGGGGGGCAGCGCGCGCGCATGAGCGAGCGCGCACACACACACACACACACACACACACATACACACACACACACACACACGACTGTCTTTACCAAGGCCCCTGCCCCTGCTCTGACACCCGAGACCCCATCACATCTCTCCGTAGACTGCTCCTCCACCAGAAGGCACACGCTGCTCATCAAGGCTAGGCTTGGCTCCTGGAGCAAAAGGCAGCCAGGGGGAAATGCTGTGCGAGAGGGTGGCAGGCTCCACAGGTAGAGCGTGGGGTGTGCAGCAGCTGGCAAGCTGCTCAGGGGCTCGTTGACGCACTACCCTGGGCCACTCTTCCTCTTATACCCCCCCCCCCCCCCCGCTTTTATTATTTCGGTGTGTATGTGTGTGGGTGTGAAGGAACCAACAAACCTCTTTCAGTACATTTTCACAGAAAAACGCAGAGGGACTAGGTGGAGGGCTTCCTCTTGGGGTGTGAGGACTACCTCATCAAGGTAAGAAATCAGGCCAAACCATGAAAGGCTAGGAAGGTGTGTTCATTACCTGCCGACCCCTCTCCCTGGGATGGGCTCATGATTTTATAGTCTTCTCTCTAACAAGGAAAGTCCCCCTCAGACCTTCTACCTCTAATGTCTATGTATCCTAGGAAGTCAGTTAAACTAGTGACCAGAGACCTGTGGATATGGGGCTGGAGAGATGGCTTAGTGGTTAAGAGCACTGCTCTTCCCGAGGACCCAGGTTCGATTCCCAGCATCCGCATGGCCACTCACAGTAACTTCAGTTCCAGGGAATCTGGCACCCTCACGCAGACACGCAGGCAGGCAAAACGCCGGTGCACATAAAAACAAAAACAAAAAAAACCCACACCGGGCGGTGGTCGGTGGGTGGCAGAGGCAGGTGTATCTCGGTGAGTTCAAGGCCAGCCTGGGCTACAGAGTGAGTTCCAGGACAGGCTCCAAAGCTACACAGAGAAACCCTGCCTGGGGGGCGGGGGGGGGGGGGGGGGGGGGGGGGGGGGGGGGGGAGATGGACAGCAAAGCCATCATGAGGTTGGCTGCCATTTGGCTGATGACATCATCATCGGTCATGTGAACTGGCCACTATGGTAGTTAATGTAACCACATGGCAAACTGAGGGCATCCACAGAACTAAGTTCTTAGTCCTAGTGTGCCTTCTGGTTACCAATCTCTCTCTCCTTCTTTTTATTAGACTAAGGAGGCAATACCAGGCTGCTAAGATGTTTTATTTTCCTTAATGTCTCGCTTTGATTTAGCTTTGAGCTTTCCAGTCACAGTAACAGAGGTTAACAAAAAGAAATAACCCAACTCAATCACCTGCTGAGTTCTTTTAAATGTTCTTCCTCTTGTTCTGTTGTTTCCTAGCCTAGATTCCAGGGACTTAACCCAACTTAAATATGAGAGGGCTCCCCTAATTTAGATAGTACTGCTTAAATAAGAGATTCTCAACCTGTGGGTTGTGACCCCCTTCGCAAGGGTCACCTAAGACCATTGAAAAACGCAGATATTTATACTACAATTCATAACAGTATCAAAATTACAGTTAGGAAGTAGCAACAAAAATCACTTTATGGTTGGAGGGGTATCACCACAACATGAGGAACTGTATTAAAGGGTCCCAGCATTCATTATGAAGGTTGAAAACCACTGGTTTAAATAAAAAGTAAATCATGAGTGTTTATCATACTTGCTTCCTATCTAGATTAAAAAAAATAATACAGGCCTGGTGGTGGTGGTGGTGATGGCACACACACGCCTTTAATCCCAGCAGAGGTGGGTGGATCTCTGTGAGTTTGAGGCCAGCCTCGTCTACAGAGTGAGTTCCAGGACAGCCAGGGCTACACAGAGAAACCCTGTCTCAAAACAAACAAACAAAAATACAGATTTACAGCTTCAAAACCAAACAACAAAACCAGACATGAGATCACTGAGACCCTAAGGCAGAGACTGATCCTTTTTATTGCTTAGGCTACTACTATTTGAGATATTCTGAGGTCCTACTCCACTCTGCAGGAGCTAGAGGTTACTTAAGTTTACATCACAAAAAAACAGGCCCTTATTTAGATAGGGGTGGGAGAACCCACCCACCTACCCACACACATAAACACACTAGCTATCCTCTCAGAATGCATGTTGTTCTACCCTTGATCTATTCGGTTATCAGGAGGGAACCAGAGTGCTTTTCCACCTCAGCTGATCCTGTGGAGGAAGCCCTGTGGAGGAGACCCTAGGGAGCAGGTCCTGTGGAGGAGATCCTGTGGAGGAGGCCCAGTGGAGGAGGCCCTAGGGAGGAGACCCTAGGGACCAGGTACTGTGGAGGAGGCTCTGTGGAGGAGGCCCTGTGGAGGAGGCCCTGTGGAGGAGGCTCAGTGGAGGAGGCCCTGTGGAGGAGGCCCTGTGGAGCAGGCCCTGTGGAGGAGGCCCTGTGGAGGAGGCTCAGTGGAGGAGGCCCTGTGGAGCAGGCCCTGTGGAGGAGGCCCTGTGGAGGAGGCCCTGTGGAGGAGGCCCTGTGGAGGAGGCCCTGTGGAGGAGGCCCTGTGGAGCAGGCCCTGTGGAGGAGGCCCTGTGGAGGAGGCCCTGTGGAGGAGGCTCTGTGGAAGAGGCCCTGTGGAAGAGAAGCCCTGTGGAGGAGGCCCTGTGGAGGAGACCCTGTAGAGGAGGCTCTGTGGAAGAGGCCCTGTGGAGCAGGCCCTCTGGAGGAGGCCCTGTGGAGGAGATCCTGTGGAGCAGGCCCTGTGGAGGAGATCCTGTGGAGCAGGCCCTGTGGAGGAGGCTTGGAAAGTTCTCTGCTGCTATCTGTTGAACTTATTTTCCCTGCTTTTTCATTCTTTAGCCTGCAGAGAAAACAAACCCAACCCAAACTGCTAGACTGTATCAATGCCACAGATCTCAAAGGGACATATTTTATTTCGTTTTGAAATAGGGTCTCACATTGTAGCCCAATTTGGCCTTGAATTTGAGGCAATCCTCCTGCCTCAGCTTCCTCTAGTACTGAGATTCTGTATAGGAATGAGCCACCAGATCTCAGCAATCGTATTTTTAAAATGAAGTCATGCTTGGTGTGGTAGTGCATGCCTTTAAACCCAGTACAGGAGAGCCAGGGCTACTGCCCTGACTCAAAAACAAAACAACAGACAGGTATGGTGGCTCATGCCTTTAATTCCATCACTCCGGAGGCAGAGACAGGTAGATCTCTGTAAATTTGAGGCCAGCCTGGTCTACATTGTGAGTGCAGGACAGGCAGGGATACACAGTGAGACCCTGTCTCAAACAAGCAAGCAAGCAGCCAGGCCTGCACTCAGGAAGCAGAAGTGGGCAGATGTCTTTGAGTTCAAGGCCAGCCTAGTTTACATAGAAGTTCCAGGCCGATCAGTTTTGAGACTCTGTCTCAAAGACAAAACAAAACAAAGAACGAAACTAAATAAAACACACAACATCATTCACAACAACAAAACCAAAAATAAGCAGACTGTTTTCTAGGCATGAACCATTAGAGTAGATTTCCTTGTTCTAAGTTTAGTATCACTCACAAATCTTACCATGGTAGACACTAAGTCCAAACCAGTTTTTTGGTGTTTGATTTGGTTTTGGTTTGCTTTTTTAGAGACAGAGTTTCTCTGCGTAGCTTTGGTGCCTGTCCAGGATCTCGCTCTGTAGACCAGGCTGGCCGGCCTTGAACTCACAGAGATCCGCCTGGCTCTGCTTCCCACTGCTGGGATTAAAGGCATGCGCCATCACCCAGCAAGAGATCTATTTCTATCAACATGAAAATCTTTCAAATTTGTGATTGATTAAAGAAAACAACTGAGCCGGGCGGTGGTGGCGCACGCCTTTAATCCCAGCACTTGGAAGGCAGAGCCAGGCGGATCTCTGTGAGTTTGAGGCCAGCCTGGTCTACAGAACAGGCTCCATGGCTACACAGAGAAACCCTGTCTCAAAGAAAAAGAAAAGAAATACATTTCCCATTTCCTTTTAAATTCCATAAAACACGCCTAGCTTTCTTGTTTCCACTGTTTTGCTAAATGAATCACTCTACTCACAAATGATATGGGAGCTAACCACTTGCTATTCATTGGTACCACTTAATTTCTCAATTAGCTTCTGGCTGTGGATAGAGATGTTTGTCCATTACTCTTCTAAAATACAGATATTACTAGAAGGAGAAATAAAGACAGGAGAAATAGCCCCTTACCCAGTCTCTCTGCTACTTGGTTTTTTTTTTTTTTTTTTTTTTTTTTTTTTTTTTTTTTTTTTGGTTTTTCGAGACAGGGTTTCTCTGTGTAGCTTTGCGCCTTTCCTGGTACTCGCTTTGGAGACCAGGCTGGCCTCGAACTCACAGAGATCCACCTGGCTCTGCCTCCCGAGTGCTGGGATTAAAGGCGTGCGCCACCACCGCCCGGCCGCTACTTGGTTTTTTGAGACAAAGTTTCTCTGTGTAACCACCCTGACTGCCCTGTAGCTCTCTGTAGACCGGTGTAGTGTGAATCCTAATTGGTCTTAATAATAAAAACCCAGAGTCAGATATTGGGGTAAATGCTGAAAGATCAGAGAAACAAAGGAGCATGACACAGCCACTTCTTACCTCGACAACCGGGGGGTGGGGGGGGGGTGGGCTCCTGTCTCTGCCTGCCTTATATTCCCCTCTCCACACAGCCATATGCTT